AGCTAATTTTTTCTATATATTTTTAGTTGTCCAATTAATTTCTTTCTATTTTTAGTAGAGACGGGGTCTCGCTCTTGCTCAGGCTGATTTCGAACTCCTGAGCTCAAACAATCCGCCCGCCTCGGCCTCCCAGAGAGCTAGGCTTACAGGCGTGAGCCATCGCACCCGGCCAGTTCCAGATCCTTTTGAGGGTTCTGCAATGTAATTAATCATATTGGTTCTCACTAAATCACTGTCGGTTTAGGATTAATCTTTTTTAGTATGCTAAGTTAGTTTCCACTCATCTGTCTGCTTTCTAATTTCCAAAAACTTGGTGTTGCTGTCCCTCTTCTAGTCTCCTTGTCTTTGTGGATTAGCGTCTTTAAAAAAAGATCTTGGCTGGGTGTGGTGGCTCATGCCTGTTATGCTAGGACCCTGGGAGGCTGAGGCAGGAGGATTACTTGAGGTCAGGAGTTCGAGACCAGCCTGAGCAAGAGTAAGACCCCGTCTCTACTAAAAATAGATAAAAATAGAAAAAATTAGCTGGCGTGCTGTAGTTGCCGCTACTCGGGAGGCTGAGGCAGGAGGATCACTTGAGCCCAGGAGCCACAGTGACAGATTAAGACTCTGTCTCAAAAATAAATAAATAAATAAATGAATAAAATTTCTTTACTATAGTTTTAGTGGGATTTGGGGAGAGAGTGAAATTAGATATATATGTTCAATGTATCACCTTAACCTGGATATTATCAGACATATTATTTTTTTGTTTGTTTTTTACACTGGACTCTTGGGGAATATCAGGCATATTAATAAGGACTATTTTGCTTGCAAATAATAGACACCCAATTCACACTAGTTTAGGGGAAAGGTTATTGGCTTCAGAAGCTGGGAAGAATAGTTTATAGGATTGAAGGAAGAATTATATGAACCAGAACCTCAAGTTCTGAAACCAGAGCTTAGTACTACCAAACTAGACTCAGTGTCACCAGAACACATATAAGCTGTGTATGTGTATCTGTGAGTGAGTCTGTCTTGTGAGTGCATTTTAAAATTTTGCAGACAAATTCTTATCCCTACAAAAAAAGCTGGCTGCTTATAGTCCTGGATTTATATGCTCTCACTTTCTTTTTTTCTTTTTTTTTTTTTAGTTAAATCAGCTGACTTGGTCAGGCATGGAGACTCATGCCCTCTAATCCTAGCACTCTGGGAGGCCGAGATGGGAGGATCACTTGAGCTCAGGAGTTTGAGACCAGCCTGAGCAAGAGCAAGACCCTGTCTCTACCAAAAATTAGAAAAAATTAGCTGGGTGTGGTGGTGCATACCTGTAGTCCCAGCTATTTGGGAGCCTGAGGCAGGAGGATTGCTCGAGCTCAGGAGTTTGAGGTTGCAGTGAACTATGATGTTGCCACTGCACTGTACCCGGGGCGACAGAGTAAGACTCTGTCTCAAAAAAATAAATAAATAAAATAAATAAGCTGACTTTAAGATCCACATTCTCTCACTTTAATGACTTCTTTGGAAAGAGAGCCTCTTTGTCCCTATATCTAATACAAATATGAAGGAAAGATTCTTACTGTTTTGGCTTTGGTCACATGACTACCCTTAAACCAGACAAAATGGAGGACTTGTTTTCTATTTTTGTCTTTTTCTTTTTTTTTTAAATTTGTGTTTTTTAATTTCCACCTTATGCCCAATGTCAAAGGGAGGAGTTTTCTAGAGGAAAGAAGTGCTTTTACCAGAACAAGGGGAGTAGGATGATGTAGGGTAGACAAAAAATTAATAGCTGCCATAATCCCATACTGATAGACTCTCCACATTTCACTGTCACAATGTTCTGTTGATATCTATAGGATAAATTCGTACAAGTAGAGTGCTGGATCAAGGCATTTTTAACGTTGACAGATGTTATAGAATTGACCATCAAAAAGGTTGTATCAGTGTACATTCCCATCAATTATTTGAGAGTTTCATGTTCCCATACCCTTGTCAGACTCTGCATTATTAATCTTTTCATGCTTTTTCTAGTTGAGTAGGTGAGAAATGGTATCTCATTTTTTAATTTGTATTTTATTAATTATTTTTAAAAAGTAACATCTTTTCAAATGTTTGGCCATTTGCATTTGTTTTACTGTGAACTGTTTTCATTTTTGGATTATTGGCCTTTTTCCCATTTATCTTTTTCCTTTTTTACTCATTGATTTTTAAGAGCCTTTTGCTAATTAACTAAAAATTGTTTAATAAAAAGTTATAAAATATATGTAATAAAATTTACTATTTTAAGCATGTTAAATGTATAATTCAGTGGCATTAAGTACATTCACATTGTTGTGCCACCGCACCACTGTCCATCTCAGAACTTTCCCATCATTCCATGCTGAAATTCTGTACCTGTTAAATACTAACTCCATTGCTCCCCAGCCCCTGGCAGCCACCATTCTACTTTTCTGTCTCTTTGAATTTATTTTATTTTATTTTTGGGACAGGGTCTTGCTCTGTTGCCTTGGCTAGAGTGCAGTGGTGTCATCATAGCTTACTGCAACCTCAAACTCCTGGGCTCAAGTGATCCTCCTGCCTCAGCCTCCCAAGTAGCTGGGACTACAGGCACACACCACCATGCCCAACTAATTTTTCTATTTTTTGTAGAGACGGGGTCTCGCTGTGTTGCTCAGGCTGATCTTGAGCTCCTGGCCTCAAGCCATCCTCCACCTTGGCCTCCCACAGTGCTGGGATTACAGGTGTAAGCCACTGCATCCAGCCTGTCTCTATGAATTTAACTACTTTAGGTAGCTCCTATAAGTGGAATCATGTGATATGTCCTTTTGTATCTGGCTTATTTCATTTAGCATAATGTTTGCAAGGTTTGGCCCTTTCTTGTTATGTATAGTTTCAAAGCTTGTAGAATCCTCTTTCAATAGTTGATGGTGATTTTTTAAGGTGTTTGCCTACTTCTTTCTTTTTTTTTTTCTTAAATTTATTTCATTATCAATTATTTTATCTATCTCTAGTATCTCGGAAAAGGAAAGCCAAGAACTGGGAGGATGAAGACTTTTATGACAGTGATGATGACACATTCCTTGATCGAACTGGCCTGGTTGAGAAGAAGCGTCTGAACCGAATGAAGAAGGCTGGCAAGATTGATGAGAAGCCAGAGACGTTTGAATCATTGGCAAGTTTTATTTATAGAAGTAGCTGTGGTAGTGTAATTTTTAAATAAAATAGTGTATTCTTTAAATATGTTTTATGATAATTACAATTTTTAAAGTGGTAGCATTGAAATCTGGTACTGAAGTATGACTTTTGTGATCTTTAAATCTAATAGTAACAAACAGCTAGTCTTATCCAAGTTGTTGGGGAAAAAAATTTGGCTTACTGCTAGAGACTTTCCTCCATGATGATATCGACCCATTAATGAACATTCTTTGGATATGACACCAGCCCCCAAAAAAGAAAGGAAAAACTTCCAAGTTAGGGCAATCTGAGGTGAAATTGATTTTAGGCATCTGGCAGTCAAGAGGATTCAAAGGGGCCAGGCGAGGTGGCTCACGCCCGTAATCCTAGCACTCTGAGAGGCTGAGGCAGGTGGATTGCTCAAGGTCAGGAGTTCGAGACCAGCCTAAGCAAGAGCGAGACCCCGTCTCTACTAAAAATAGAAATAAGTTAGCTGGACAACTAAAAATATATATATAGAAAAAATTAACTGGGCATGGTGGCGCATGCCTGTAGTCCCAGCTACT